TTAAAAAAAAAAAAAAAAAAAGAGTGACTTAAAAAACTGTGTTAAGAGAGTATACCAACAGCGCAATGATTGAATTTGGGTTTGCTAGAATGGTACTTGCAAAACTGGGGATGTGCAAAGAGAGAAGGACATATCCCTGGTGAGTGGCAAGGGGCTACTATATCTCCAGCCATGGAAAAATCCATAGATACTCCAGGGTGAAGAAATTACGAGCACAGATTAGGCAGCCTCTGCGCTGCCTTCAACGTGATAGCCATGTGGTCCTGGCCAGGGGTTGGAAAACCAAGGCCTGCTGCCCAACTCTGGCCCTCCACTTGTTTTTGTATGGCCCATGAGCTAAGAATGGTTTTCATGTTTTTAAATGGCTACAAAAAAATCCAAAGAAGAATAATATTTTATGGCACGTGCAAATGATACGAAATTCACATTATAGTGTTCATCGATAAAGTTTTATTGGCACACTGCCACGCTCATTTGTTTATATATTGTCTGTGGCTGCTTTCATGCTACAGTGGCAGACTTGAATTGTTGTGGCAATGACTGGATGGCCCCCATCTGGCCCTTTACAGAAAACCTTTGTTGACCCCGGCCTAGACTGTCAAGAGGTATTTTGTGAGTGATGCTGCGTGGTGCACTGTGTTCTGAAAGTGTAGTCATGTGTGGAGAGAAAGGGCGCGGGAGCACCTGTCAATGGCCGTCACCAAAGCCACCTCGCTCCATGTTCACCCTCTACAGAGAGAAATCATCTTATATCTATGGTCCCCTCATTTCCTGGAACAGAATATTTAGCAAATGCGATTATTCGTGGGACAAAGCCAATGGAAAGTTTCAGGGAGGGAAGGTCCAGGATTTGGAGGGTCCAGGATCCATAGGGTCTCAGCCCTGGCCCAGGTGCCGTGAGTGGGGCTGAGGGTGGTGATGGTGGCACCTGCACCCGGGCATGGTGGCACCTGCACCCGGGGATGGTGGCACCTGCACCCGGGGATGGTGGTACCTGCACCCGAGCCTCCGGGAGGTTGATCCTGGCCGCCAGCTGGTTGCGCACGTGGATGTCCGGGTAGTGGGTGAAGTGGAACATCTTCTCGAGCTCGTGCAGCTGCTCCGTGGTGAAGGTGGTCCGGACCCTCCGCTTGCCCTTCCTCTCTGGATGAGGGAGGGGCCAAGTGGTATGAGTGACCTTGGCGTTGGCTTTGTGTCACAGCATTTCGTGATTCCCCGGTGTATTTGCAAAAACCAAAAACCATTTAAAAGTACTCCCTCCCTAAATAAAGGACTTTATAACAGCCTGTAAACCCCCAATAAACTTTCTCCCGGTGCTGTAGTTTCCTTTAACTGCCACGTATCTCCAGGAAAGAGTAGCGTCCATCACGCAGCTGACCCTGATGGCACCGGGGAGGCTGGAAGTGGAGGGCAGGTGAGAGGGAGGGCGGGCTGGCACATGCCCACTCGCAGCAGGTCCCCCGGGGGGGAAGGGACATCCAGTGGTGAGGATGTGCCAGGAGCCCTGGCTGGTGGCTCAGCAGAGGTGACCTGCTTGTGTGCACAGGGCGG